ATAAAAAAAAAAAAAAAAAAAGAAATGGAGTAACATGGCTGCCGAGAGTAGCTTTCGAATACGATCGAGTGCAGTCACTCGGATTTTTCCGAGTGGAGGAGCGACGTACTCCGTTGTAAAAGAAATCAGCGCGAGAGAAAGAACTTTGAAAGTGTCATTTTACACGGTTACAATTCAACTCTGTTAAGCCATGTGGCTATTTAAACTAACCTCGTTATACTTGCTCGCGGACAGTCGACGATTATCGTGCATCTTCGGTGGAAAATATGGCTACCTTACGTGTGTAATGTTGCATGCAACGAGCCTAGCCCACAGTTCCGAGGCTGAGAATTCTAGGCCTCTCTATAGTACCCTCTCTCCAAAGCTTTGATTCAAGAGTTCTTACTTATAAACAGGAAATAGGAAGATCTGGCCGTGTGTAACTGCGGAGAATCACCGCGTATTATCGATTCGAACGATTGACCAGCCTCCGTGAAACATCCAAGGTAATGTTTGCCCAGCGGACAACGATGTTAGGCTCGCGATATAACGTTTGAAGGCGCAACAACCGATCGGGGTACTTTAAATCGCGAAATCACCGAGATCGATTTACAAAAAAAACGACAATTATGAAAACCACTGATACAAGAAGATATATTCACGGTATACTAAAACAGGTTTTCATCGTTACATAAGCGAGTGAACAACACCGAGTGGCTGTATCACTCTTATCATTGTTCTTGTATTCGATTTTTCAACCAAATTCGTCTGGAACCACTCGACGAACGAAAAAGAAGAAAAAAAAAAAAAAAACAAAGTTGAACACGATGTTAATAAATAAGCACGTATCGTCTGTTCAGCGTAAGCGGATGATTCTAATAGCGGAGCGAATCGATTCGTAGAGTAAAAAATCTACTATTCAGACCTAATTTCACAAAGGCTAAAAACGAGACAAGACCCAGTTTATCGTCACCTAAATATTCGCGCGGCCATCCGGATGTTTGAAAATTCATGCGCGCAACACGATCCTCCCGGTTCTTGCTCCAATGTAATGCATTTTAAAAGTGGAAAGTCCTGCATAGATGGCTCTGCTCGCAGAATTGGCGCGGTATTGTCTACGACCACTTCAGCTCTCTCTTTCGCGATCTCTTTCTCTTTTTTCCTCTCTTCGTGCTCTCTCCCTTGACTTCTCTCTCTCTCTCTCTCTCCCCTTCTCCCTCTCTGTCTGTCTGTCTCTCTCTCTTTTTCTCCCCTTCACTTTCCTTTCTTCGTTTCTCGTATTTATATTTTTCTTTCTCTTCGTCGTACGCACACAGAGAGAGACGAGTCTCTCTCACGGATGAGGTTCAACGAACGAGAGAGCGTAGCGCTTGCGCGGGGCTGCACGACTGTCGTAATTGTCGCTACGCTGCGAAAGTAGAAGGCGTATAGCGACAACCCTGCGCGCTCGTCTCCTTTCACAGTTTTTCTCTCTGTTTTTTTCCTCCCCCGTTCTCTTCCTCCCCTCCCGCCACCG